TCGGTTAGCAGGAACTACAGGAGGAGTGTTTCCTAACAGGAACATCGAGTATATTGAAACATCAACTATCAAGTTGTGTTGGATTATATGTAGATATTTAATTTTATAAATTTTTTGTTTGAGATATCCAATTTTGATGGATATAATTAAAATAATGTATATAAATAAAAATAATTTTTATTTTATAAATCAATTTTATAAAATTAAATTAAGCTTAATTTTTCTTTTTAGTACAAAGGAAAGAAAATATAGAGGTGAGAAAAAAATTTGATTCAAAAAAGTTAGTGGAAATAAGGAAAAAAAAATTATTTTTAAAAGGTAAACTTTTTCTTTTTTGTTGTTGTTGTTATTTTTACTTTTATTTTTTCAGATTTCCCTTTCAATTTCTATGAAACTAAAGTTAAGAAAAGATATTATTTTTCATGCTTTCTTTCTTTTATATTTTCTTTCAACTTAGTCAACCAAACATAACATTAGTATCTGACCGTGTTTCTCACTTTAACACAAAGTATTAAATATACACGCATAAGATTAAGTATAATTTATCTATCATTTTAAATAATTAAAAAATAGTACTAACTATATCATTAAAATTCTTCTATATATCTTGATTTCAATTTGTTGTAGAACAACTTGACTTCATCTTCTTTATTGGAGAGAATACGTTTCATGTTAAGAAAATTAAAAATAAATTTATGCAAATAAGTGACTAGTTAAAAGTGTATTAACACGTTCTCTTACACTTAGAATAAGGACCTACAAACAAATTTTAATATTCTTGGTTTACAAAGAGGTGATTCTTTCTTACATGGGTGGGGATATGTCCATTTTCATTGTACGATCGTGACTACCTGCATAACAGTTTTGGCATTGTGCATGTTTCAATCATGATGAGGGACCAAAACGCTTATATTTCGGGGCAACGTGCTTATGAACTTTTGAGTTCAAGACCCATCAAAAAAGGGACCCCAACAATTTCTTTATTGATTCAAATGAGACATATATTGATAAAGTAAATATTTTAACAATTCTAATGAAGAATAATTTTATGGGTCAAATGTGTTCACACAGCGGAGCCCAACATATTGTATTATGGGCCTTGTTCATTAACTCGAGAAAGAGTGAGAAGGATGGGTCTTGCACTCTTGGCCCAAAACAGTGATGGGTTTCTTTCTCCAAAGCCCTATTCCTTTAATGACAGAAAACAATGGGAGTTTTCTAGGATGCATTTGATATATACACCTTTTTTTTATAAATATGTTTCCTTTTTTCTTTTAAATATCTTTTAATTAATTTCCTATTTAATTAAACTTACTTTTATAATTATCTTTTTCAACCCCTTCTTTCACTCTCCTTCTCCACCCCTCTTTGATTACTTTTCTTTGAATTTTTTTTTCCCTTCTTGCTTTGGTTATTGATTTATTTTTCCAACGATCGATAATACCACATTTTATCTTTGTACATTTTAAATTGTATCTTTTCACTCTCAACTTTATCATTCTTTAAATTCTAATTTACATCATCTTGTTCTCCAAATTTAATATATGGTATGACTTATATACACAATTGGTAAATTAGTCACGTAAAAAAGAATTAAGTTGGTGAATTTTTTCAAAACTTTTTTGTTCATACGGTATGATTCTGTCAATTCTAGACTGAACTTGATTTATTTTTTAAACTTTCGAAAAAATATTTTGTAGAAGTACTTTTCTTTTGCATTTTTGAAAAATATTTTTTGAAATAGTAAATTTAATCTTTTGAAAATTATCTTTTAAAAGTATTTTTTTAATGTTTTTCAGAACATTAAATTTATTATTCTAAAAAATATTTTTTAAAAGTGTTATTTTTAAAAAATATTTTCTAAAATATTAAATTTATTGTTTCGAAAAGTATTTTTTTGGGAGAACATATTTTTCAAAAGAATAATTTAATATTTCAGAAAGTGCTTTTTAAAATATTAAATTTATTATTCTAGAAAAATGTTTTTCTTCCTCATATTTTCTAAGGGGGTTTGTGAAGTCAAGAAATTATGAAATAGAAATAAAATTGAAAGGTATTTTGGGAAAAATAAGAATATAAAAAGTGTATTATTAATAGATGGTGGTACATTTACAAAAGCCTTTCTAAATTCATCTTATATATATTTTTTATTTGGACTCATCACCGTTATTGTTAGAGGAGTTGGGGTTTCTTTCTCCATTTTTATTTGTACCTCATCACCGTTATTTCTAGTAGAGTTGGGCTTCCTTTCTTCTTTTTTGTTTGGACCACATCACCCTTATTGTTCTTGGGAGTTGGGTTCTTCTCAATAAAAGAGCCACATAATTGCAATTTAAGATTCTTGGAAAACATAAGAAATAAAGAAAATGATATGTAAATAAGAGAGTTAAAAGTCCAAAATGTTAAGATATTTTTAAATAAACAAAACATTTATGCCAAAAACTTGTAAACTCCGTGTGAATCAATGACATGAGATTATTCCAACTTAATAATTTTATCTATTTCAAATATAATTGTCTCAAGATATTTCTGATCTTTAAAAAGTAAAAGATAAATAATCACACTTATTTTTTTTAATGTAGCTTGCATATAAATTTTATTATGGAATTAGAGTCCACATATAAGAAAAGACTCCCAAAAAAGGGTTAATAGAAAAATTGAAAGGTATCAATAAAAGGGGCAAAGCATAAGAAAACCCCTAATAAGTAAATATCAGCCTTTATGGGCAAGGCAATAAATAAAATTGTGCCCTCTAATCTCTAAAAAAGTGGAACACAGTTCTACACAACAAATAAAAGTAACAGTTTCTGATTCCTAAATTTGAAGTATAAATTTAGACCGACAGATGAAAACATGTGACAAGTCACAACTCACTGATGAACACTGTTGAGGGGAAGTGTTGGAAAATAAATACCATGTTAGAGAATTAGAAACAAATAAAATACTATATATACTTGCATAATTTAATTTTGTCATCTCAAACAAAAAATAAAGTGGTGCATATATTAAGCATGACTCTAAATTGAACAGTGATAATTATTTGTTATGCAGATCATGTGGTGTGTTGTAAATTGGGTCACCCCACCACACCTTCCAAATTCTAAATGATTGGTACGTTTCAGGCTTTTCTACAGCAAAAAATGCTTTTACGTGGTCAATATTGTTCTTTTGCTTTCTTTTTCTCTCTCTCTTGATATGAGGTATAATTTCTTTCCATCAAATTAATCACGATGAAAGTAAAATAATTCCTCACGTTATGACCTTATATTCAAGTCAAAAATTGAACTCTAATTTTTGGTTGAGAAACATAAAAATCGAACCAACTAATAACTTTTTGATTTTACAATGTTTAAAAAGGTAAAAACAAGTGACAAGGATCTCCACTTCCACCAGCAATCTTTGTGTGGGAGCAGAAAACAAATGTGCAAATATTTGAAACAGTTCTTTCGGTATCTTGAGCACTTGGGTTTGTAGAAAGAAGCTATGTATGATTGTGACACAAATATTCTTTGGGCTGGGTCATATCATATCATACCCTTCGTCAAAGGATTCGGATGAACGCAATGCTTCGAACATGCATGGTGGAGACCCATGAGACTTCATTTGCCACCAGATATTTCTTTTGTCCAGCTTGTATTCATTCAATGAAAATATATAACACACCAAAAGCTTCATCTTAGTCATACTCATACATGCATCAATTATATTTGTAATTGGAAAATACTAGTACAGTATTTTATGGGAATAATACAAGTGAAGTGATTAATTAGGTGAGGACATAGCTGGCATAAACACTCTCTCCTTTCTCTCTCTCTCTTGAAAATGAAAACTCTTCTTTTGCATGATTGTGATCGATCATGTTCCCTTTCTTTCTTGGGTTTGTAGAAAGAAGCTATGTATGATTGTGACACAAATATTCTTTGGGCTGGGTCATATCATATCATACCCTTCGTCAAAGGATTCGGATGAACGCAATGCTTCGAACATGCATGGTGGAGACCCATGAGACTTCATTTGCCACCAGATATTTCTTTTGTCCAGCTTGTATTCATTCAATGAAAATATATAACACACCAAAAGCTTCATCTTAGTCATACTCATACATGCATCAATTATATTTGTAATTGGAAAATACTAGTACAGTATTTTATGGGAATAATACAAGTGAAGTGATTAATTAGGTGAGGACATAGCTGGCATAAACACTCTCTCCTTTCTCTCTCTCTCTTGAAAATGAAAACTCTTCTTTTGCATGATTGTGATCGATCATGTTCCCTTTCTTTTGGTCAATGAAGTTCTTCTTCATCTTTTTTTTTTTTTTTTAATAAAAATTTTAAAATTACAATATTATGTTTTATATTTATTTGCTATTTTTCACTTTATCGTTTCTTTATTCAAATCGATTATCGTATACATACATTAAATAATCTTAAACCCATAATATTAAATTATTTTTATTACTCTTTATATTTCATTTATTATTTGTTACTTCTTTTAAAAACTCGTTAACTATGAACTAGACTAATCTTTTTAAATATTAATAAAATGAAAATGTTATTGAAAAGTAATATTTTAAAAAAATTAAGATAACACATACATATTTAAACAAACTAAAAATTAACGAAAGGAATGTAATAAAGTTGATTGAATAAAATGTGAGTCATCGTGTAATTTTTATACCAAAAGGTTGCTAATACTTTTTAAAATATATTTGTATGTCGTTTTGTATGATAACGTTGTTAAATTAGTCCTTACAGCGGAGAATTTGAAGTAAAAGTTGAACGTGAGAGTAGAATAACACTAATCCATCACAGTGTTCTTGGGACAAAAGCGGAATCAGGTGAAAACATAGCAAGTGAGAGGACTTTGCGTTGCTTTCACGTGGGTTGGTGTCATCATAACTCCCACAACTGCTACCGTGATTGCAACGTCCACAAAAACAAACAAACAAACAAACTTTACAACAATTTTAATTTAATACCCAAATTTCGCGCCACCAACACCAACAAATACTTGTCAATTAAATTAACTAGTTGTCAAACATGGCACTATTATTATACACACACCGCTGTCAAACACAATTATAAAGTACGGTGAAATTCAATTTGAAATTTCTCTACAATTTCATTTCCATTCTTCAAATCAAATCAAATCGAATACATTCACATACATACTTTACATCTTACCATAGTAAAAAAGAAAACCCCAAAAAAAGAGACTCATATCTCAGCTTGAAAATAGCCATGAAATCACAGCCTCCAGTCCGATCCAAACCCGGGACGACTCAGTGGAGGATTTTCCATACTCTCCCACCCTTGTGCCATCTCCTGGATCCACATTCCCAAACCTTTCTAAAACTCTTTTTTTTCTCTTTTCATAGACCACATTCTTTTTCATAGAGTATTATTGGTCATACCACTCTCTTTCCAAATATTTAACACAAATGCATATCCAAAATCCAGAAGAAAAATTAAAGTCACCCACTTAATTGGAATAATCTTGTATCAGTCTTATATCAGTTGATCCATGTCCAGAAGACACAAATTAAACTGAAATAATCTTATACCGGTTAATTCACGCACTTGAGACATCATGAAATAAATAAAGCTGTGATAATCTTGTACGTGTTGTTATGGGGATATGTGTGAGTGTGACTAAGATAACATAAAATAGGGGCAGGAATGAGATGTTGGCAATGGAATATATAATAATGTGTTTCTCGTATGTAGCATTAGAATTTGGCGTGAGTGAAGAGGAGGGTTAAAAGAGCAGTTGGGGCTTGGAAGTTAGCAAAAGGTGTTGTGAGAGTGAGAGGGGCCGTGCAGGTGCAGGAGCGGTCGAGAGTCGGGCCAGGTGGCGATGGCGAGGTGGCAGTGTCGGCGGAAGTCGTCGAGTTCGAGGTTGAAGAAGCGGTTGGGTTTGGAGGATTCGGTTCGGGAGATGAAGCGGAGAATCTCCTGGAAGAGGGTTTCGTCGCAGGGGATGGCTAAGGGACCGTCGTTGGAGAACCCGTACTCTTCCTCCGCCTGGAGGAGAAGCTTCTTGAAGACCGGGTGGTTCAGGTAGGTCGCGCGCACCACGAATCTCGTCGAGTTCCTGCCCACGCACACCGCCACGTGCCCCGCCGGCACGTCCGAGGGCGCGCGCCTCGCCGACATCCGGGCCTTGTTGCGCCACCGCCGCAGCATCTGCCGGAGCCGCACAATGTGCCTTATTTGGCTGCATTTCGACGACATTTCTCTTGAATTTGAATTTGAATGAAAATGGAGATTGGGGGATTTTCAACAGTCGGAGGGGTTGGGGATTTATAGTGAGGACCTTCGCAAACTGGGCTTGCTCTTTCGAGATAATTACAAACTCCTACTGTCTCTCTTTCTTCCACCACTCTTCAGCGGAACCATCACCTCACTCCAATTCTCTATTAACAATACACAATATATATTTTTTATGTATTATTATTTGTAAAAAACTTCAATTATGCTGTTAGTCTTATTGGAGTATTAATCACCATATTGTTATTGTATTATTTTTTTAGAAAATTAAAAACATTAAATTCGATATTTTAATAATACATCAGATCAAATAAATTAAAAATTCATACACTAAAAACATAATTCAGCCTTTTAAGATTAAATTACTCTTTTGATTTTTATAATTTTATAAGCTTTATTTTTTTATATATATATAATTAGTCTTCATACATATAGTCTTTGTTTCTTTTTTACGTTTTGTCTGGTACTAGGAAGATTAAAATGTAAAGTTTATAAATTTATAAAGTCTAAAAAGAAATGAAAATAATGTGTATTTATATATATATATATATATATATATATATATATATATAATAGAATGTTTTAAACTATAAAAATTAAAGATAAATAGAGGTCTAGAAGGTAATTTTTTTTATAGTAGATAAGTCTCTTTTGTGTATGCAGCCGCGTTAAATCTTGGGGTCACCTATCTCACTTTTTAAGGTACCTCCAACGTAGCGGGGAGATTAGTCACTGCTATCGACAATGGATATTGCAGGAACCAATCCAAAAATAAATAAGTAATAATTTTGGACAGAAAAAAATAAATGAAAAAGAAAAAATATATAAATAATGCGACTATATACTTAAAATTTGAACCAGGATTAAATTATAATAATATTGTAATAGTGATCTACACGCTAAATAATAAAACTGAGGTAAGTTTCATTTAAAAATAATATTGTAGACTTGTTTACCCAGGAGAAGCAAAGGATAGTTTTGAAAAAAATATATTTGATTGTGTGATTTATTGATATAATTTAAGTGCATATGATTTTACTTTGGACTCACGTCGTTTCATATTTATATATATTTTATTATTTGTGGATTCGAAAAATACCAAAATACTGTTAACATCGCGTTCACACTTTACCCAATAACGGGAGAATGGTTGACCAATTGACCCACATTTGGTTCCTGTCACTGAATGAATAAATGTACTGACACTGACACGTTTTTTTTAATTTTTTTTTACGAAGAGATATTTTTAAAAAATTAATAAAACAAAAAAATACTTTGAATATTGCCATTTAGAGGGGCAGTAAGATGATAAGTTAATCTGTAATTGAGAATAATGTTTAAATTTGTTTGGAATTTGATAAGGGATACTTTGTTTTATCAATATTCAATTAATTAATTTATGAAAAGAGGTGGGACGAGTATAACATTTTACCTTTTTGATTGTTGTCTTTACTTATAATTGCATGTGTTTGGGATGTGATAGAGTGACTTTGAGAGGTTAAGGAACTCTTATAGAGTTGTTAAAATGTTTGGAGGATTTCTCTAATGAGAGGCTCGATTGACCATGTGTCAAAAGATATTTGAGGTTGCTTTCGAGGTTCAAGCCTTATAACTTCATTCTTAGAGAACCTTAGAGATATTCTAGAGAGAAGAGCTCTAAAGCTATTTTTCTTTCTAGATTTTTCTATGGAATAAAAAATCCTTGAGGATTAGAGAGTTGTGATTCAAAGCATTAGAGGCTAAGAATTGAGGTTGTCTTAGTGTGAAACTTCGGTGTTGGCTCGAAACACGTTTTCTTTCCATCCTTTTCTTCTTTTTTGGCTTGAAGTTAAGGTAAGAGAAGTTAGAACTCGATCTTAATGAATTGTGGTGTTCCATGTACCTAGATTCTTGTTGATTGCATGAGGGTATGCTTGATTTGGGGGTGGCTATTTCATTTTTGGAACTTTGATGTTCTTGGTGAAGGATGAGGAGATCCATGATCTTGCTGCATTAGATGATTAAATATGGTTTTTTTTATGCGATTTCTAAAAATTAGGATGATGGGAGATGATAAATTCTAAGTTGCATGCTTGAAATTTGGTAGTGGATGGGAGAACTTGGAGTTGTTTTCTTGTTCTTGAAGTTGCTATGTTCGTTCCTGAGGTTTACATGTTTTCTAGGCTCGCTTGTTCAGAGTGTCAATGGGGTTGCTCAAAGCGAGCAGGTGCAACCATTTTAGGTGAAGTCTTTGACTTGGCTCACTTAGAGCGAGTTTCGATTGCTTAGAGCGAGATGCGATGGCTCAAAACGAGAACTTACTTGCTGAGAGTCAGGTGATGTGGTGTTACAGGGGTGGTCTCTGACTTTACTTGCTTAGAGTGAATTCTTGAGCACTCTAAGTGAATTTCATTTTCCTAGAGCAAGGGATGAGTTGCTTTAAGTAACTAGATCAAGGCTCCTTGGGACATTCTTTGTCTAGGCTCGCTCTAAGCGAATTGTTGAGTGCTTAGTGCAAATTTTTGTCGCTATGAACCAACGAATAAATGAAATCCTTTTAACCATTTAATTTTTCTTCTTTTAGGTCTCTCTATGCCCATCCTATCATTTAGTGTCAATAGTATGCTAAAACTGCTAGCAGACTTACCTAATTTTTCAAAGAGACATAAAACTATACTATTACTAGGTATCTTATGGTTGAATTATAAATTTTATCTTTATATAAGTATTTTTTATATAAAATATTTGTTTTAGTTTTTATATAACTATTTCTTGACTAAAGAGTTTATCACAAGTAGTTAATGTATTGAACTCAATATTGAATTGTTTGGACAATGTTCGAGTTCGATCCTTAACAGAAACAATCATTGGCCAACTTTATTTACCTCTCGACCGGGTTAGATTAGCCTAAAATAAAGCCTTAAGATACTAGTACGAAATCAAAAAATATAAGTATTTCTATTGATTTCTGTTAAAAAGAAATAATGTTGTTAATATTATATGACGGGACACTATAATGAATTTTTTTTTAACATTTTACATAAAAGGCAAATAACTGTTAGGCAATGTCATTTAAGATTACGCTGACATTTTTTTGTTTAATTTTTAATGGTATGTTAATGAAAGGATTGAAATTGCTTAATTTGAAAATTTAGGAGACTAAATTTGCAATAAAAAATTTAAGGGCCAAAATTATACATTTGCGAAATTTTAGGGACCAAAAATTAAATTGAAGAGTCTCTAAGTTGTAGAATTTAGATGCGTGTGTTGGATATGAAAATGTAGCCTATATAGTGATTTGTTTTGACACTCCTTACAATGATAAGAACTTTTGTGTTGCTTAAATTTTGCTACATGAAATGTTTAGGTAAATGTTGCGTGAAACTTGTATGCATCATTTTAATGTTGTTACATCAAATGCTTAGGTATTTATGTCACTATTATGTAAACATTTTTATGCTTTAATCCTTATCATTAGTTGTTATGTAACTTTATTATCTTTAAGTTTTTTAACATCGTCACAAAATCGAAACGCACAATATAGAATTGTAAAAAAAATGATGATTGTTAAAATATTATAAATTTGAAAATGAAAATAGTTATGTCATGCTTGGTTACTTTTTGGTGCTAATGTGTATCATTCACACACACACACACACACACACACATATATATATATATATATATATAGAGAGAGAGAGAGAGAGAGAAGGAATGAATCCATTTATTTCAAGAGTAAGTGTACTCTTAATTCAAAAAAGGATAAGATTTCAAGTTTAAATAATAACAAACAAAAAAAATTTTTAAGGGAGAAGTTTTTCTTTAAGACAATTTGATTAAGATGTTTAGTTATCTTAACATTAAGTCTCACAAACGAAATACTTCATTTATGATTCCTTAACATATCATTTATGATGTTTGATAACAAAATCATTTTTTGTTCACATGATTCCTTAACGTACCAAATTGATAAAGTTTCTTCGGTACTCACAATTCACTAAAAGAATTAAAGACATGATTTTTGTAAAAAAAAAGAATAGTATATCTTGCAAAGAACAGAAAAACTATAGGAAAAACTGTTTTGGACTGACACACACATAGTTCCTCTCTTTTGGTACCTAAAAGGTGATAATTAACTTTCTTGATCATATAAGAAGTAACAATTTAGTGAAACGCATTTAATGCAAACATTTAATACACCAATAGACATTTCCATCTTCAAGGAATGAGGATGAAGATAGATGAAGTAAGCTTGTGAGAGATGCTTAAGCATATGCAACATTCATCTTCATGAAACACATATATAAAAAAGCTTGAAGACTCATAAACGAAGAGAGCACATTCATTGTAAAAATACATTCATTCTTTCTATAAGAAATAATGTACTTAATTGGTTGTATCACATCATGATAGTAAGATGAAACGACATTGTTTGCTTACCTTATTTTAAGTTGGTGTTATTACTTTGAGCTTGAAAAGGTTTGATTGTAAAAGAATATTTAGTTGTTAGAGCCTGTAGATGCTTGAATGTAAATGAATACTTAAATGTTAGAGCTTGGAGAAACTTGATTGTAAAATAATACTTGGTTGTTTAAAGCCTGAAAAATTTATGTTAAAAGAATACTTAGTAGTTGCTTGAAGAGATAAGTTAAAGAACATTTAGGTTGAGCAATAAGTTGCTTGTAAAAGAATACATGTATCTTTGTAAAAGATAATAGAATTTGATTGGGTAGATTAAGAATTAGACGTAGTCTTAGTAGTTGAGACAGACTAATATAAAAATACTATGTGTTCTTCTTATTTATCTCTTCGTTTAAAATCCTACAATTACGTTACTACTTCATTGTTTCAAAAAGTGTTAATTTTTTTATTGGCATTATTTAACCTCCTTATAATGTCTCTCTTTTCTCCACATCTACCTAGACTTACTCTAGTCAATAACTCATGTTCTACATCAAATTTTAACGATCCAACAATTGGATTAAAAATTCTTAAAGCATAGATCAAGGTTACAAATTTGTAAAAATTTGAAAACCATTTTATGATTTTATGATTATCTGTCAATTTGAATTAATAAAATGAAGTATTAAATAATTTTCAAATTTTTTTATACCCACGATCCAACTATTAAATTAAAAGTTCTTAATGTATAGATTAT